AGGCATTCCTGGGCATGATAGACAAGGCAATCCAGAGGGAGAAGTGCTCTGGGGCCGGGGAGGGGAGTAGAATTAAGGAGGGCACTTGGGCTGTCAACTTGCGTATTACTTCAATTCTTAACACATTTCAACTGAAGTAAAAATGGGGGGGCGGTGAGCGGGAGATGGATATTCCTTTTACTATTCTCTATGCTTGCCTGTAGCTTGAAATGTTTCCTTTAAAAAAAAAGAAAGAAAATACAACTTGAGAAAATATTACACGGGCGCCATTTCTGGTCCTGGCTGCTCCTCTTCCAATCCAGCTCTCTGTTGTGGCCTGGGAAAGCAGTGGAGGATGGCCCATGTCCTTGGGCCCCTGTACCCACATGGGAGACCAGGAGGAGGCACCTGGCTCCTGGCTTCGGATTGGTGCGGCTCTGGCCGTTGCAGCCATTTGAGGAGTGAACCAACAGATGGAAGACCTTTCTTTCTGTCTCTCCCTCTCACTGTCTGTAAATCTCTCAAATAAATAAATAAAATCTTTTTAAAAATTTAAAAAAGAAAATATTACAAAACAAAAGCTGGTCAATAGACAAATTTCTCTAATATAAACAAGTTATTACAAATCAGTAAGGAAATGAGCAATGCTTAAGTATAAAAGTTACTTAATGACAATAAATAAAGATGATGAATTATACATATATATTTAAAGATTTATTTGAAATACATAGCTTACAGAGAGAGAGAGAGAGGGATCCTCCATCCTCTGGTTTACGGGAGTGCCGCAGTCGTCAGAGCTGGGCTGGTCCGAAGCCAGGGGCCAGGAGCTTCTTTCAGGTCTCCCACTTGGGTGCAGGGCCCCAAGGACTTGAGCCATCTTCTACTGCTTTCCCAGTCGCATTAGCATTGAGCTGGATTGGAAGTGGAGAAGCTGGGACTCCAACCAGTGCCCTTATGGGATGCCAGCATCACAGGCAGTGGCCCCACATGCTACACCACAATACTGGCCTGTATATTTTTGACTGTTTCATTTTGAAGGTAAACAAGATCGATAAATCCAGTGTTGGTGGGGCCAATGTGGCGAGGCAGGTTAAGCCACTGCTTGTGATGCTGGCAAGGTCAAGTTCCAGCTAATCTGGATCAAGTTCACTGCTAATGCACTTGGGAAGGCAGCAGAAGCATTCAGGCCCCTGGCCACGTAAAAGACTCGGATGTGAGAGACTTGGATGGAGTTCCTGGCTCCTGGTTCCTGGCCCAGCCCCAGATGTTGCAACCATTTGGGAAGTGACCCAGTGGATGAAAGATCTTTCTCTGTGTGTTTCTCTCCATTTCTCTGTGTGACTATGCCTTTTAAATAAATAATCATTTTAAAAAATCCAGTGTTGGTGAAAATAGGGAAATAGACACTCATATTAAGATAAGCAGGTAAATTAGTTCCATTTGGGGGGAAAATAATTTGCAGTAACATTAAGATGTTAAAATGGGGCCAAAGGGCCTGCTCCGTGGCGCAGTAGGTTAATCCTCCAGCTGCAGCGCCAGTATCCCATATGAGCGCCAGTTCTGGTTCCTGCTGCTGCTCTTCCAATCCAGCTCTCTACTATGGCCTGGGAAAGCAATAGAAGATGGCCCAAGTCCTTGGGCCCCTGCACCCGCATGAGAGACCAGAAAGAAGCACCTGGCTCTTGGCTTCAGATTGGCGCAGCTCTGGCTGTTGTAGCCATCTGGGGAGTGAACCAACGGAACGAAGACCTTTCTCTCTGTCTCTCCCTTTCATTGTCTATAACTCTACCTCTCAAATAAATAAATAAGATAATTTTTTAAAAAATGGGGCTAGCGTTGTGGTATAATGGGTTAGACCTCCATCTGCGGCACCAGCATCCTCTGTGGGCACTGGTTTGAGTCCCAGCTGCTCCAGTTCCCACCCAGCTCCTTGTTAATGGCCTGGGAAAAGTAGTGGAAGGTGCTTGGGCCTCTGCACCCGTGTGGAAAACCTGGAGGAAGCTCCTGGGTCCTGGTCAGAGCAGCCCAGCTTCGGCCATTGCAGCCATTTGAGGAGTGAAACAGAGGTTGCCTCTGCCTTGCCCTCTTTCTTTCTGTAACTCTGTTTTTCAAATAAATAAATACAACTTAAAAAATTCTGGAGATAGTTTAATCATTTCCTAGGTCCCTAATATATAAGAGCAACCCAGAATTTTCTAATGAAATCAGTTTTTAGAGTCATCACTTGCCTTTTTCTCACTCAGTTATGAAGTCTTCCCAGCCCCCTTGGCTTTAGAGTGAACTCATGCTTTTCTTTTTTCTTTTTTTTTTTTTATTTGACAGGTAGAGTTATAGACAGAGAGAGAGAGAGAGAGCGAGAGAGAGAGAGAGAGAGGGAGAAAGGTCTTTCATCCATTGGTTCACCTCCCAAATGGCCACTACGGCTGGAACTGCATCAATCTGAAGCCAGGAGCCAGGTGTTTCTCCTGGTCTCCCATGCAGGTGCAGGGGCCTAAGGACTTGGGCCATCCTCCACTGCCCTCCCGGGCCACAGCAGAGAGCTGGCCTGGAAGAGGGGCAACCGGGACTAGAACTGGTGCCTCAGGCGGAGGATTGACCAAGTGAGCCACGGTGCCGGCCCCTTCTTTCTTTTTTGATATTTATTTTTTTATTTGTTTATTTGAGGGGCAGAGTTACAGACAGAGAGAGGGAGACACAAGCACACACACACACAGATCTTCCATCCACTGGTTCACTCCCCAAATGGCTGCAATGGCCGGAGCTGGGCCGATCCAAAGCCAGGAGCCAGGAGCTTCTTCCAGGTCTCTCATGTGGATGCAGGGGCCCAAGCACTTGGGCTATCTTTTACTGCTTTTCCACGCCATAGCAGAGAGCTGGATCAGAAGAGGAGCAGCTGGGACACAAACCAGCGCCCATCTGGGGTTCCGGTGCCTCAGGCAGAGGCTTAGCCCACTACGCCATGGTGCTGGCCTGAGCTCTTGCTTTTTAATGGCTGCATAACGCTCCACAGGTGGACCACACTTCATTCAGACTTTTCCCCTTTTGGAGGATGTTCAGGTTGTTTCCAGCTTCTGCCCCTATAAATGGAGCTCACAATAAACATTCTTTTATTTTTAATTATTTCAAATATTTATTTTATCTATTTTAAAGGCAGAGTTACAGAGAGAGAGGGAAAGATCTGAGCTGGTTTACTCCCCAAATGGCTGCAATGGCTGGGGCTGGGCCAGGGCAAATCCAGGAACCTGGAACTCTATCTGGGTCTCCCATGTGGTTGGCAGGGGCCAAGTGTTTGGGCCACCTTCCACTGCATTCCCAGGAGCTTGGACAGGGAGCTGGATCTGAATTGGTGTAGCCGGGACTCAAACAAGCATTTTGATCTGGGATGATGGCATCACAGGTAGCAGGTTAACTTGCTGCATCAGAATGCCAGTCCCAACTTTCTTTCAAATATGTATCATGCACTGATGCTTTTATTTGTGCATGAATAGTATTAATGAATAATCATTAGTTAATAGTATTAATTCCTCCCTCCCTCTCTCCTTCCTTCTCTTCCTTCCAATCTTTCCAAAAGAAGCCTTTTCCATGCAAAAGGCAGGTGAACACGTAGTTCTTGGGACCTAGGTGGGGGGCCCATGTTGTCAGGCATCAGGTGAACCCAGGCCTGCAGGGTGCAAGGGCTCAGCCCGACACCTCCTCCCCCTGCCCAGCTGTCTCCACTGCAGCCCACACCTGTTCCTCCCCGGCTCCACCCCTCCTGCATCCCCTGCACCTGACAGGCTAAGAGCAAACAACAGTGTTTGTTCCTCCCTCCGGGAGTGCACAGCGACACAGAGGGCACACCATCCATGCTAACACCATCGCACTTAACACGGACCTGGGGCTTCCTTTTTATGATGTGTGCTGCTTCTGACACCTGCTCTGAAATCCCAGCTCTCGGGTGAAACCCAAGTCCACACATGTGTGTTTGTTGGAGGTTTCATGAGGGCACAAAGAGCAGTAAGGAGTACAATTTATGTGCAATGGGAGCTCAGTCTCCTGGAAGGGGCTCAGGGATCAGGGGAAGAGAGACAGCTCAGTGGCAACTGACCAGTGCAGCTGCTCAACCAAAGGGATGCACGCTGTGGGAGGGTGGCACGTCGAGATGCTGGTGGCGACTTCCTGGGTCCAGGGAGCTCCTTGGAGGACACTTTGCTCTGCAGATGCCTCCAGGGAGAGGGAGCAACTGAGACCATGCTGAGAGAAAAGCTGCGGGAGGAGACAGAGGGCTAGGATGGGCCCCTCGGGGACTCTCACCTTTGAGGATGGGCAAAGAGAGGCAAAGAAGGGCTGAGCAGAGAGGCAGGATGGGGACGGGGCACGTAGTCCCTGTGCAGTGACACTTGTATGTCCTCTCCACTGGGAGTAGCAGTTGAAACCTTGGCAGCAAACTAGTCAAGGTCATTTCTTGTATTAAAAAGAGAGGAGGCTGGCACCGCGGCTCACTAGCCTAATCCTCCGCCTTATGGCGCCGGCACACCAGGTTCTAGTCCTGGTCGGGGCACCGGATTCTATCCCGGTTGCCCCTCTTCCAGGCCAGCTCTCTGCTGTGGCCCGGGAGTGCAGTGGAGGATGGCCCAAGTGCTTGGGCCCTGCACCCCATGGGAGACCAGGAGAAGTACCTGGCTCCTGCCATCGGATCAGCACGGTGCCCCAGCGGCAGCGCGCTGGCCGCAGCGGCCATTGGAGGGTGAACCAACGGCAAAGGAAGACCTTTCTCTCTGTCTCTCTCTCTCACTGTCCACTCTGCCTGTCAAAAAAAAAAAAAAAAGAGAGAGAGAGGATACTGAGGTCCCCACTAGGGAGGAGTGATGGGCCCCAAAGGCAATGTCCTGCGTCGGTCCAGGACCCTAAACTCCCAGCTCACTTGCCCGCACCCCTGTGACAACCCTCTTTTTATCACTAACTGTGCCCACCACAATGCATGGCACACAGTAGGCACACAGCATTTGCTGAGTTGAATCCTTTCTCACCAATTCCTCCAGTTTCTCAAGAAAAGGCCAAGAAAGAGGAATGGTCCCCTGCTGAGCCTCCTCCATACTCCGGCACCTTGCAAGGTGCACACTTGGACATTGTTGGTCCCCACATCGTGCTGCTATTCCCGTTTTACAGGTGAGAAAAGTGATTCCAGGGCAGTTAAGTGATTTGGTTAAAAGAATTAAAACCCAGATCTGTGTGACTCTAAATCCCACAAGGAAAGTATCCGCTTAAATGGTGGAAATTGAGTTGAACTGAATCCATTTCTCTGCCCACAGCTCTCAGAGGGGATGAGCAGGAGATGGAGTTGTAGTAGCAGGGTATGTGCGAAAAAGAATAAAACCTGTTAAGTTGGGGCTGGCACTGTGGCGTAGTAGGTTAAGCCTCTGCCTGCTGGCGCTGGCATCCCATATGGGCACCGGTTCAAGTCCCAGCTAGGAAGCAGTAGAAGATGGCTCAAGTGCTTGGGACCCTGCACCCACGTGGGAGACCTGGAAGAAGCTCCTGGCTCCTGGCTTCACATTGGCCCAGTTCAGGCTGTTGCAGCCATTTGGGGAGTGAACCAGAGGATGGAAGACCTCTCTCCATATCTCTCCCTCTCTCTCTGTCTTTAACTCTGCCTGTCAAATAAATAAATAAATCTTTAAAAAAAAAACCTATTAAGCGATAACTGATTTTAATTACTCATCACTGACTGAACTTCCAACACAGTAGATGACAACAAAAGTATGAGGTTTTTTTTTTTTTTTTTTTTAATTTGAAAGGCAGAAAGACAAATAGATCTTCCATATGCTGGTTCACTTCCCAAATGTTCCCAAAAACTGGGGCTGGAGCAGATTGAAGCCATGAGCTCAGAATTCAGTCCAGGTCTCCCACGGAAGAGACAGGGACCCAAGCCCTTGAGCCACCATCTGCTGCTTCCCAAGGTGGGCATTAGCAAAAAGATAGACAGGAAGCAGAGCCACGACTTGGACCCCGGCCCTTGGATAAGGGATGCCGCTGTCCTCAGCTGCATTTTTTTTTTTAAAAGATGTATTTATTTGAAAGGCAGAGAGAGAGAGAAAGGTCTTCCATCTGCTGGTTCACTCCCAGTGGCTGCGACGGCCGGAACTGCGCTGATCGGAGCCAGGCGGCGGCTTTACCTGCTGCGCCACAGCACCAGCTGCTCCCAGCTGCATCTTAACCACTACACCAAACGCCTGCCCTGCTATGAGTTCTTTCTAAAAACTACCACCTGTCTTGGGCATCAGCTCTTCTCTCAGCTTCTCACCCTCTGAGCTGAGTCTGAGGGTCAGCGGCATTATTGAAATGGACAGAGAGTTAGGATGTACCTGACCTCTCCAAGTGTCTTGTAAGCACATTGTCACCAAGCCTTGGCCATCCTGGAGGAGGGTGGGCTGGGGAGACTCAGTGGGGGAGGGGTGGGGGGGTCCCTGGGAAACCTCCAACAGGCCAGGTGCAGAGGCTGGGCCTGCTGCCCGCCGGGGGTCTAAGAGTGGGAAGGGGGCCCCTGGCTCCTGTTTGTTCGGCCCTGAGCTGTGGTTCCTGTTAGGAAGTTTGCGTGCGGATTGATTTGTTTGCTGTTCACACTTGCATGGAGAGCTGCCCCTTGCAGCCCTAGCTTCAAACATAGGGGTGGGCGTGAGAAGGGGGATATGGGCTGAACGCAGTGTCCCCACAGTCCAGGGAGTCATCTGGGAAAGTCAACATCTACAAGTTTCTAAGAGCTGAGCAGCGTGTCGGACCCCGCGCGGTGTGGGGCTCAGCTTCACTCCCTCCTTCACTGAAAGGAGCCGCACAGGGGGACTTGAGTCAAGAAAGGAAGGTTTGGGGTTTGTCTTCCTCCCTCATCGAGGAGTCCCTAGTGGGGAGCCAGTTATCCTAATGCTGGTGTCCCGACTCGGTTGGTTTGGGACAAGGCTGGGATGTTGGGAGCAGAGATGCTTCCTAGTGATTCCACTGTGCAGCAATTCTGAGAACCACAGCTGGCCGCTCCTCAGGCCTCAGTGTGCACATGAGTTGTAGGGGTCTGGGCTAGGGGCCCTGGACTCTGCCTTCTTCTTCTTCTTTTTTTCAAAGTTACTTATTTAGGGGCCAGCACTGTATGTTAATCCTCTGTCTGCAGTGCCAGCATCCCATATGGGTGCTGGCTCTAGTTCTGGCTGTTCCTCTTCTGACCCAGCATCTCTGCTGTGGCCTGGGAAAGCAGTAGAAGATGGCCCAAGGCCTTGGGCCCCTACACCTGTGTGGGAGACCCAGAAGAAGCTCCTGGTTCCTGACTTCGGATCAGCACAGCTCCAGCCGTTGTGGCCATTTGGGGAGTGAACCAGTGGATGGAAGACCTTTTTCTCTGTCTCTCCCTATAACTGTCTATAATTCTACCTCTCAAATTAAAAAAAGTTATTTATTGGCCGGCACCATGGCTCAATAGGCTAATCCTCCGCCTGCGGCGCTGGCACATCAGGCTCTAGTCCCGGTTGGGGCACTGGATTCTGTCCCGGTTGTCCCTCTTCCAGTCCAGCTCTCTGCTGTGGCCTAGAAAGGCAGTGGAGGATGGCCCAAGTGCTTGGGCCCTGCACCCACATGGGAGACCAGGAAGAAGCACCTGGCTCCTGGCTTCAGATCGGCGCAGCGTGCTGGCCGTGGCAGCCATTTGGGGGGTGAACCAACGGAAAAAGGAAGACATTTCTCTCTGTCTCTCTTTCTCTCTCTCTCACTGTCTAACTCTGCCTGTCCAAAAAAAAAAAAAAAGTATTTATTTATTTGAAAGGCAGACTTACAGAGAGAGGGAGAGAGAGGTCTTCCATCCACTGGGTCACTCTCCAGATGGCTACAATGGACCGGGCTAAGCTAGACAGAAGTCAGGAGCCAGAATCTGCATCCAGGTCTCCCACGTGGATGGTAGGGGGCTAAGCACTTGAGTCATTTTCTGCTGCTTTCCCAGGAACACTAGCAGTGTGCTGGATCAAAAGCAGGGCAGCTCAAACTGGAATTCATACTGATACAGGATGCCAGCTTAACCCACCGCACCGAAGCTCCGGCCCCTGGACTCTGCATTCCAACACACTGCCAGGGGAGGCTAGTGCTGCCAGACCAGAGGACACGTGCAGGAGTAGCAAGGCTGTATCCTGGCTTTGAACTCCTCGTTCCAGGTGTCCTCACTGCTCAGAGGTAAGGGGCACAGCCGGGAGCAAGAACAGCAAGCAAGCGTTCTCTTGTCCTCTTGGGAACACAGGCAGATCAGATAGAAACATTGTGTGGCAGGGTGTGTTTCCATCCTACACACTCCATTGCTGTTCCCCAGACCCTCTTCTCAGCTCTGAGCTCGCCCTGTGACTTGTTTAGTCACCAGAAGGTGTAGACAGTGGTGCCGTGCATCCTCTGAGGCTGGCCCTTCACTATGTGGGGTGCTTGCTCTTGGGATCCAGCTACCCTGTGAGCAAATCCAAGAGGCAGTCACATGGAGAAGAGAGCCCAGCCTCCCAGCCACACCTGCCAAGACCTGAGCTTTATGAGTAGAGCTCTCCTAGATATTCCAGCCCCAACCACCCTCTCAGATTACAGCCCAGACCAGCTACAGAATATGTAGGGCCAATGCAAAATGAAGATGCAGGGTCCGTGATTCTAAAATTATCTAGGATTTCAGGAGCTGGGCTCATGCACATATACGTGTGGGTAACCGAAGATGCAGGCGAGGCAGGAAGCAGCTCATGGGTGTTCAGTCTGCCCTTTTGGCCAAGGAGCCAGGTAGACTGCCAGCAGCCTGCGTTTCTGCCCTGGGACAGCAAGAACTCAGCCTTCATCTCAGGAATTCTGGGTAGGGATTGATTTGGGCCAAATGCATCACCACATGACCTGAGAGTTACAGGTTTTCTAAGCAAAAATATACCTGGGGACATACACTTGCCTTAGCAGTTAAGATGGCAATGAGGATGCCACCTCCCAGTTCCTGTTCTGCTCCCATTGTAGCTTCCTGCTAATGTGAGCTGCTGAAGCAGCAGGTGATGGTTCAGGTGGCTGGATCCCTGCCACCCACATTGAAACCTGGATGGAGTCCCAGGCTTCTAATTTTGGTCTGGCCCAGCCCCAGCTGTTGCAGGCATCTGGGGACTAAATCAGCAGGTGGAAGATCTTTCTCTCTCTCTGCCTTTCAAATAATAAATGAATAAAAAAAATTTTTTTAAGCGGAACTAGTTTTTTTTTTAAGCGGAACTAGTTTTTTTTTTTAAATGAATAAAAATTAATACCAGAACTTGAGTTCCTGCAGACTCTTCCCAATCTCCAACTCTTTTGGCTCATAATGTACTGCAGTGACTTTCACCCTTTTTTAAAGGCTTAGGAACAATTTTCTCTTTAAGTGATTTTCCCTTTTGGGGTCTGAGGAGCAGAGGGCTGCGGCAGTCTGTCCCGCCCACTCGTGGCCATTGCCTTCAGAGCTCCAGACCACACCCACTCTTGTCTCTCTCCCTTTTCATCCCCATCCCCTTGCAACTTCCTCCTCTTCCCCTACTAAGCACCTCTCTCATGTATTTATTGGTTGTCTATGGATGCATGGTAAACATGTAGGGCTGATACATATATGTATATAGTTTTTCTAAATTTCAGTTAATTTGAAAGAGAGAGAGGGAGAGACCACAACAGCCATAAGAGGGCCAAAGCCAGAAGTCTGGAACTCTATCCAGTTCTCCCTTGTGGGTAGTAGGGACCCAAGTACTTGAGCTATTTTCTGCTTACTCCCAGGGCTTGCATCAACAGGAAGTTGGATCAGAAGCAGAGTAGCTGGGGCTTGAACCAGGCACTCCCATATAGGGTGCAGGCATCCTGAGCAGCGTCTTAACAGCTGACTCCCATGACTTCCCATAGATATAGTTTAATTTACATGATATTAGGCCAGCGCTGCGGCTCACTAGGCTAAACCTCCGCCTTGTGGCACCGGCACACCGGGTTCTAGTCCCGGTTGGGGCGCCAGATTCTGTCCCGGTTGCCCCTCTTCCAGGCCAGCTCTCTGCTGTGGCCAGGGAGTGCAGTGGAGGATGGCCCAAGTGCTTGGGCCCTGCACCCCATGGGAGACCAGAATAAGTACCTGGCTCCTGCCATCGGATCATTGCGGTGCGCTGGCCACAGCGTGCCGGCCGCGGTGGCCATTGGAGGGTGAACCAACGGTAAAAGGAAGACCTTTTTTCTCTGTCTCTCTCTCTCACTGTCCACTCTGCCTGTCAAAAAAAATAAAAATAAAAATAAAAAATAAAAAAATTAAAAATAAAAATAAAAAAATAAAAAATAGAAAACTTTAAAAAAATTCACATGATATTGTATACTTAAACTTCTTTCCTCCTTCCTTCTTCTCTCTTTCCTTCCTTCCCTCCTTTTTTTTCCCTCCCTTCCTCCCTTCCTCCCTCCCTTCCTTTTCTTTTTTCACTTGAAAGGGTTTAAAGGTCCCTCCTTGGTGCTGTGTATGCGGTGATTTCATTCTTCCAACAGCTATTTTGCAGCATTTCATGTTTGGATGAAAAGTCTTGGCCGGCGCCGCGGCTCAACAGGCTAATCCTCTGCCTGCGGTGCCGGCACCCCGGGTTCTAGTCCCGGTCGGGGCACCAGATTCTGTCCCGGTTGCTCCTCTTCCAGGCCAGCTCTCTGCTGTGGCCAGGGAGTGCAGTGGAGGATGGCCCAAGTGCTTGGGCCCTGCACCCCATGGGAGACCAGGTGGAATCACCTGGCTCCTGGCTTCGGATCAGCGCGGTGCACAGGCCATAGCGACCATTGAGGGGTGAACCAATGGAAAAAGGAAGACCTTTCTCTCTCTCTCTCTCTCTCTCTCTGTCTCTCTGTCTCTCTCTCTCACTGTCTAACTGCCTGTCAAAAAAATAATAAAATAATTTAAAAAAAGAAAAGTCTGAGATCTGGCTGATTTTTGTTGTTGTTGTAGAAAACCTTCTCTGTTATGAAAAAGTTCAGAAGTTTTTTCTTTATCACAAACATCACAGCCTTTTAGCAAGATGCTTGGGGATGTCTGCTCTCGGCAGTCTTCCCCGCTGCGGGCAGCAGGTAGTTGCAGGGGGGTGGTTATCGATTGAGGACAAGGTGTCCGAGAAGCATCCCAGTGCAGGGTTGACAAGAGGTGGGTGAGAGAAGGTGCCTGGCCTGCACACATGTCCTGGAGTCGTCTGTATGCGGGCTCTCGTTTGGAAACCATGAACTGATGAGATCCAAGGTGAAGAATTAGTGGAGCAGGGAGGGAGTGGGCAGAGCTGCCCAAAGCATGGGGTCTGAGAGTCCTGGCTCCTGACTCTGGCTTCCTACTAATGCAGATGCTGGAAGGGGAAGGCAGCAGCGATGGCTCAAGGAACTGAGCTCCTGCCGCCCATGCAGGGGACCTGAAGTGGTTCCCTGGCTGTCGTGGGCACTTGGGAAGTGATCCAGTGGATGGAAACTCTGTCTCTCATGGTCTCTCCGCCTCTTAAATAAAAATAATAATAAAAAAAAACAACTATGGAAAACTGAATTAAAACATGTTTTTTTAAAAAAACAGCAGAGCATCACCAGAGGGTCTATTATTAGGTGAGCAATTGTTTTCTTCCCTTTTCTTCTTTTTTAAAAACTATATTGGGGGCTGACGCCGCGGCTCAACAGGCTAATCCTCCACCTTGCGGCGCCGGCACACCAGGTTCTAGTCCCGGTTGGGGCACCGGATTCTGTCCTGGTTGCCCCTCTTCCAGGCCAGCTCTCTGCTGTGGCCAGGGAGTGCAGTGGAGGATGGCCCAAGTCCTTGGGCCCTGCACCCCATGGGAGACCAGGAGAAGTACCTGGTTCCTGGCTTCGGATCAGCGCAGTGCGCCGGCCACAGTGCACCAGCCATGGCGGCCATTGGAGGGTGAACCAACGGCAAAAGGAAGACCTTTCTCTCTGTCTCTCTCTCACTATCCACTCTGCCTGTTAAAAATAAATAAATAAATAAATAAAATAAAAAAATAAAAAAAATAAAAACTATATTGGGGCAGGCGCTGTGGCATAGTGGGCTAAGCCTCCGCCTGTAGCACTGGTTCGAGTTCCGGCTGCTCCTCTTCCGATCCAGCTCTCTGTAATAGCCTGGGAAAGCAGTAGAAGATAGCCCAAGTCCTTGGGCCCCTGCACCTGCATGGGAGACCTGGAGGAAGCTCCTGGCTCCTGGCTTTGGATCTGTTCAGCTCCAGCCATTGTGGCCATCTGGGGAGTGAACCAGTGGATGGAAGACCTCTCTCTGCGTCTCTACCTCTCTCTCTCTCTTTCTCTGCCTCTGCCTCTCTGTAGCTCTGCCTCTCAAATAAATAAATAAAATCTTAAAAAAATAAAAATTATGCTAAAATATTGCACACATTAAGAAAGTTCTGGTAGGGCCAGCGCTGTGGCGCAGCAAGTAAAGCTGTCGCCTGCAGTGCCAACATCCCATATGGGTGCCGGTTCTAATCCTATCTGCTCCACTGATGACCTACCTCCCTGCTAATGCACCTGGGAAAGCAGCAGAAGATGGCCCAAGTGTTTGGGCCTCTGCACCCAAGTGGGAGACCCAGAAGAAGCTCCTGGCTCCTCGATTCAGACTGGCCCAGCTCCGGCCATTGTGGCTATTTGAGGAGTGAACGAGCAGATGGAAGATCTCTGTCTCTTCCTTTCTCTCACTCTGTAACTAAATAAAAATAATTAAAAAATAAATTTATGGATAAAAATATGATAAATCCTTGGGGCCACAGCAGGTTAAGCCTCAGCTTGTAACACTGACATCCCGTATCAGAGTGCTTGTTTGAGTCCTGGCTGCTCTGCTTCTGATCCAGCTCCCTGCTAATGCACCTGGGAAAGCAACACAAGATGCCCCAAGTGCCACCTATGTGGGGGACCTGATCAGTCCACAGTGCTTCTTGCTCAGGACCTGAGGTTTCTGGAAAGACCCTCTAGAGCTAACTGCAGGGGAGATAAACAACCTCACGATTCTTGCGATCGGGGGACAGGCAGCACCACTCCCTTAATTTAGGGAGTTAATTTGAGTAAGAGGTTGATGTGCTAAGGAGGCAGCCTGAGCAATTCTGGGACCAGGGCCAACACCTGCATCCGAGCACTGTGGAGGGGCTTGGAATTCTGGTGACTGGATGGAGAACCTTTTTTTTTTTTTTTCCTGCCAAGGGCTATTTGGATACTTATAACACCATTGGTGGGCCATACACAATGACCAACTTAAAAGTTAGCCTGCTTGGCCAGCGCCGCGGCTCACTAGGCTAATCTTCCACCTTGCGGCACCGGCACACTGGGTTCTAGTCCCGGTCGGGGCGCCGGATTCTGTCCCGGTTGCCCCTCTTCCAGGCCAGCTCTCTGCTGTGGCCAGGGAGTGCAGTGGAGGATGGCCCAAGTACTAGGGCCCTGCACCCCATGGGAGACCAGAATAAGTACCTGGCTCCTGCCATCGGATCAGCGCGGTGCGCCAGCCGCAGCGCACCGGCGGCGGCGGCCATTGGAGGGTGAACCAACAGCAAAAGGAAGACCTTTCTCTCTGTCTCTCTCTCTCTCACTGTGCACTCTGCCTGTCAAAAAAAAAAAAAAAAAAAAGTTAGCCTGCTATGTAGATGTACTTAATTTTGAGTCCCGCTTTCGGTTGCCTTGGCAGGGCCAGGTTTCCCTGGCCTCACATGGCCCACCGCCGGACGTTTCCCATGCCTGCGAGCTCTAGAAGGTGTGGGGACCACCATCCCGGAGCGTCTGCTCTATGCTGGACATGGCGAAGGCACCGCAGTGAGTCCTCACCCGACCCTAGGGAAAACCGTCCAACCTGCTGCAGAGACACTGCACTGCAACCAACCCACTGTGCAGATCGCAGCCAGCAGGTGGCACGAGAGAGGGGACTCGCCCACCCTGGCTCCTGTGGCCCTGACTTGATGTGGCTGCCCCCCCCCCCCCATGGCAGTGGGAATGCATGCTTTGGGGGCTTCCACAGCTCCTGGCGGCGCCGTCACTCCCGCCCTCAGAGCGCACTGTGGCGTCCGCACTGCAGGCGACGGGATGCGTGGACTCAGCACTGCCCAGCACCGAGTCAGGTCTGGGCCTCCTCTATCCCTACAGAGCTTCTCCCACAGGGGCCCTGGAAAATTTAGGCCCTGCCATTGGTGTGTAGAAGGAAGCCTGGCGCTCATTCTGCCTGTGATGTAGGGACAGCGGGAGGACAGTGGTGAGGGCGCTGTGGACATGCCAGCCCCAAATGCGCCGCTAGTGTCTGTTGCTGACTTCCACGGAGGTCCTCCGGGGACAGAAAATGCCACCAGGCCTTTTCTGAACTCCCCCGGACTGAAGAACACCCTCAGAAAGGGACTCAGTGGTCATGGACCCCTGGCCCGGAGTCTCATCCGCCAGGGCTGAAGGAGACTTCAGGCCCCAGGCCCCGGCAGGCTGCAGCACCGGCCCTCACCAGGTCCTTGTCCCTAAGCCACCTGTCTCCTCCACCTCAGCAGGGGGCATCTGAACTTCTAGACCTCGCTGGTCTTGGGGGTATTCGTTTTCCTCTCCTGTGATGTTTGTACCTGTCCTCCTGTTAATCTGCCCACTATTATCACAGTCTCAATTACTGAACCCTCAGAGGTAGTTTTCCTTCCCCTACTATAGTGTCGGGTGGTGCCGAACCCATGATTGGAGACATCATCATCTTTTCTTTTCTTTTTTTTCTTTTGACAGGCAGAGTGGACAGTGAGAGAGAGAGACAGAGAGAAAGGTCTTCCTTTGCCGTTGGTTCACCCTCCAATGGCCGCCGCGGCCAGCGCGCGGCGGCTGGCGCACCACGCCGATCCGGTGGCAGGAGCCAGGAGCCAGGTGCTTTTCCTGGTCTCCCATGGGGTGCAGGGCCCAAGCACCTGGGCCATCCTCCACTGCACTCCCTGGCCACAGCAGAGAGCTGGCCTGGAAGAGGGGCAACCGGGACAGAATCCAGTGCCCCGACCGGGACTAGAACCCGGTGTGCCGGCGCCGCTAGGCGGAGGATTAGCCTAGTGAGCCGCGGCGCCGGCCGACATCATCATCTTTTCAAAGTAGCTGCCCCACTCATGGCAAGAGCCTCTGGTGATCACTGACGTCATACAAAAGAGTGTTACTTGTTAAATTACAGCAGGAGTCAGTGTGGGCTAACTTCCCATGCAGAACCTCTGTCATACTATGAGATTTAACTGTAAAACTTGTTCTTTTTTTTTTCTTAAAGATTTATTTATTTATTTGAAAGGCAGAGTTACAGAGAGGTGGAGGCAGAGAGAGAGAGGTCTTCCATCTGCTGGGGCAACCCCCCCACCCCCACCCCCAGATGGCTGCAACAGCAGAGCTGTGCCGATCTGAAGCCAGGATCCAGGAGCCTCTTCTGGGTCTTCCACACAGGCACAGGGGTCAAGGATCTGGGCCATCCTCTACTGCCTTCCCTGGCCATAACAGAGAGCTGGATCAGAAGTGGAGCAGCCGGAACTCGAACTGGTGCCCACATGGGATATCAGTGCTGCAGACTGGGGCTTTAACCCACTGCGCCACAGTGCCAGCCCCTAAAACTTGTTCTCAGTTTTTATATTTAGTGTGTGCATGTGTGCAAATAGTTGAAATCTTTACTTAGTATAGAGTTGGTCTTCTGTGTATAAAGTTAATTTAAAAAATGAATCTTGGCCGGAGCCGCGGCTCACTAGGCTAATCCTCCGCCTTGCAGCGCCGGCACACCGGGTTCTAGTCCCAGTCGAGGCGCCGGATTCTGTCCCGGTTGCCCCTCTTCCAGGCCAGCTCTCTGCTGTGGCCAGGGAGTGCAGTGGAGGATGGCCCAAGTGCTTGGGCCCTGCACCCGCATGGGAGACCAGGAGAAGCACCTGGCTCCTGGCTTCGGATCAGCGCGGTGCTCCAGCCGCAGCGCGCAGGCCGTGGCGGCCATTGGAGGGTGAACCAATGGCAAAGGAAGACCTTTCTGTCTCTCTGTCTCTCACTGTCCATTCTGTCAAAAAAAAAAATCACTGTATTCCTAAAGATGTACTCATGCAATCCATACTCATTAAATAAAAAGTTTTAAACAAATAAATAAGGTACCTGCTCTTCCTGGACGTGAGAGGTGAGGCGGGGTCGCTGGAAACCGGGATCCAAGAGCCAGGCCTTAGGAGAGTGTCGTTTCCCAAAGTGGGCAGCAGGGGGCGCGCGCAGACCGCGCGATGCAGGTGCTGGACCTCGCACGCCGCGGAAGGGGACAGAGCTACCTGATATCTGCAGCCCCAATGAGTGCGCCGGGGAAGCCTGGACCAGGAGGGAGAGGCCCCTAACTCTAGAGACTGGGGATTAGGGGAGTCTTGTTGGCCCTCGGTTTCTCCGAGGCTGCGGCAAACGAAGCCGTGGTGGGGGAAGAGAGGCGGGGCGCAAAGGTTGGGTGGGGAGGGCAAAGGCGGGACCCTGCGTTCAACCCCTACAGCTCTGCTGTGGGGTTGGCGCGTAAGAGCCAGGGCTTAACATTGGTGCCTGCTCCTCCCAAGGGGAAGACCGAGTCGCTTCCGAGAGTCATAGCAGTTAGGCAAGGAATTCAGAAGAGAGGGCAAGGAGGAGGAAGGGGCTAGATTGGTGGGGGAGAGAGAGGACGACACAACGGCTCTAAGAAGAGGGCTGCTTACTAAGTGGCTTTGTTATTCAAGTCCCTATCACTCCTGAGAGCGGCACACCTGGGCACAGGTGTCTCCTGCCCCCAGCTACTGGCCTTTGATGCCCCAGCATCTGTCTGGGGGCGAGGAGGTCCTATCCTCGGCCACACCTCCCAACCCAAACAGAATGTATTAGAGAGAAGACTAAGGATCTCCACTGAGGGACCCTCAGATGCTAAATTCGATCACAGACCCCGCCTGGGGCTGGAGACCACCTGCAGGGCTGGGGGGGGGGGGACTGGGAGCTGGCTGTGCCTTGACAGATGGGCGGGATTGGGGGTCTCGGAGAAGCAGGAGTGGTCGGCCAGCTGGGGCAGAAACACAGGCTGCGGGTGGGGCGGCGGAGGCCAGGCGCAGGGACAGGGGCGGGGACTGGAGGAGGTCTGGCTGGGGACGCGCAGAGGCCAGTGCGGGAGGGGTCCCGCAGCACCCGGCAGAGGAGTTTGTCCAGAGGTCCTGGCCTGTCCTTCCTTCCGGGCGCTCGGACACGTGCCCAGGGGCTGCTGGCCGCCTCTCAAAGACTCACTTCTGCCACAGTCCCCGACTTGGGTCTGGCGCGGGGACCAGCGTGGTCCCCTGGAAGCCAGTGCGCACCTGGGAGGGCTGGGTCCTCAAACCTCACCTTTACATCCTTTCTCGTCCGTCCCCAGCCGGGAGCCACAGGCAGATTGGGGAGGGGCGGAAGGAACCTGGGCGCGGGAGGAGTCGGGGGAAGACAGTGGGTGCGTCCCCCCTGCTCGTGGCCATCTCTCCCACCGCGGGCTTTTGCACCAAACCAGGGTCCGCCACGTGCGTGCTCTTTACAGAAAAGGTGCGGCAATTCACGACACTGGAGAGAAGAAAACAAAAAATCTCCGGCTAGGTCCTGGCGGGCGCGCGCGGCCGCGGGCGGAATCCAGGCCGGGGGATTGAGGCTGCCGCGGCGTGTTTGTCCAGCGCCCGCCCCCGCCGCCGCTCGCTCTAATCTCCGATACACTTGCGAGTTGGCTTCCTGCCCCAGGGCCCCAGCCCTCGGAGCAAACACGCCGAGCGCGGCGCTGCATCCGAAATGCGGCATTTGGGCCGCGCGGCCGAGGACGGCCGGGCTCCGTAATCGCCCTTCTCGGCCCCTAATCCCCCGGCCCGGCCTCTCCCGCCGGCTGCGGCCCATTGATTAGCGCGGGAGCCGCAGCGCAGCCCGGCTCCCCGGGGCCTCCCCAACCCCCACCCTGAGCCCGGGAGGCCGTCAGCCCCCTGCCGCTCTAGCTGCCAAGGTCCCTCCGGACTCAGGGGCGGAAAATACCCCTGGAAAGGGCATCGAGATCGCTGGGGAAAGTTGGGGGCGGTGGGGGGGCGTACATTTGCACAGGGAGCCAGGCCAGGGACACCCTAGGCCCAAAACAACTGGACAGACCCCTCTATCTCTAGCGTGTGATAATGCGAGCGGGTAAACGGGGTCCAAGGGTGCGGCTGCCTTGCCCCTGGGAGCTCACTGTGGGTGCTGGAGTTTCTCGGGGGGGGGGGGGGCAAACCCAGCTTCACGACCCCCTGCGGTGCCCAGGGCCTGCCTCCTCTCTGCCTGGTGTGTGTATTGAAGAGCCAGGTGCTTCGAATGGGAAATCCAGGTAGACTGTCCACAGTTAATGAAGCTACACTCCTTCCCCTGCCTGGAATAGTGCCCCCAGGCTGGGAAACCTGACCTTGCCTCCTGAGCCCACCTCTCTGGTCTAGATCCACAGTTCCAGCAAACTTGACTTGCTTCGTTGGCTCTCCTCTGACACACTGAGACCCAGGGGAGAAAAGCTCGGGCTGGGGGCAGAGGCTGGGCCAGGGCCAGGGGTTGCCGCTTTAAAGTTTGCACACGCCGGGGCCACTGTTGAGGCGCAGAGGGTTGCTGCCCACCACGCCGCCATCTCGTATCAGAGAGCTGGTTGG